TCTAAAGTTGAAAAATAAAAGCAAAAATTCAACTTAGCACATTGTAAAGTTGTGACCTTTTAATAGTCGTTCTTCAACAAGCACGTGAGATTTTCACGTGATCACACGTTCGTTGCCTACAATGCATTTTTCCGGGCGGGCAACGCTCGTTGCTCCTTCCATGCGACTTGAGTTTGCTTATTTTCTGCCACCAAAGAACTTGTGCCATTTGATGCATGCTGGTAAAACTTTAGTGCTTTTTGATAGAATGAGTCGTTCACATTCCCCAACGAGGAACTTGCCGTTCCATCCGGCTCGGATGCCCACGAGAGTCGTTTGCATGTGGATAACACACTGGCGAAATCTTTTGGTTGCTGCCTTATTGCACACATCTGAGCGGTCAACTCATTTGCGGAATAGGCGGTTTGGCTACGGTGTCTCGAATGGGATGTGGGCTGCGAGCCCAATGGCGCTGCCGCACTCCATACGTCGACAGGCTTGTTGACATGACGGAGAAACACGGGGCCACTTTTAAAGCGGAGTTTCACTAATCGAAGGATATTTTGCACACAGTCTCAAGGATTTTCCGTATCACCTAAATTTGCTGTTGATTTTTACTGCTTCATTTCATGACTGCAGACCTACACTGTTGAATCCCTTAAAGTGCGGTTGAGTGACTTCGTTTACCACTGTAGCTCAACTAGAGTTTAAACGCTTTTAGGAGTCAAATCAGATTTAATAAAGGTTGTTTTGATGTCTGGAATAAGAATTTCTTCATTTGTTTGCTGCGAAGCGGCCGTTGGTAAATTGTCAAAGAGGAAAAACGTCTCTAGGTTGCTACAAGTGTCATAGAAGCTTCGCGTCGTTATGCATGATTGATGGATTGAATAAGGGACAATGTACCTTAATAGTATCAAAATTCCTTTTAAAGGTGCTGTTAGGGCAAGGAGGCTCACAGTCATTTCCGAGTCCTCTGAGGGAAGGTACTGTGAAGACTGCATATATTCCTCACTCTCCTGCGTCAAGTCGGCATAGGAGGGATTTTGGTCGGATTTCTCACTGACGGTCTGATTAACGTCGTAGATCTGAACTCCCGCAGTGTGTTGCTTGGGTGTCTTGGAAAGCTGTCTTCCTCCCGGGGTCACATAGGGTCCTGGCAGGGTTGATTGCAACTTCTCTTGACTATTCGCATGAGGCACTCTCCAGTATCCGTCAGGATCTTCGATGCGCTGCCCTCTGTGGTGATGGTGGTGATAACGATGATGCGACCGTTGACTTGACTTGGGATTTTTACCCTTTGAATAGTTTGAAAGGTCACTGTATGTGCCACTTCGCAGTGTGGATTCATCGACATAGTAAGGCGCTTCTACTGATCCCATGGTGGGATAAACCTGACGAGGAACTGTTGCGGGTTGACGACTGTAAACGATGGTGTCACCCGCCTTGTAGGTTATGGGCGCCTTTCCGTACGGCGCGGTGTAGGACACATCAGGCACGGCTGGACGAAAGACGTCGTTCCGAAGGTAGACCTTCGGCGATTGCTCCTGCGTCGGTTGCGGAGACGCCATGGTATTGTGAATGAGCTAACTTCTGCACGATCGCTTCGCAGTGCGTGCGTGTGTGTTTCTGGGTTGGAGATTGCGCACGTGCTGACACTCGCCAATGGCGGGCGCGCGGCTCCACATCGATCAGCTGTTTGTGCTGCTGTGCTTGCGCCCGCGCGTGCACGTGAGCACACAATGCTAGGGCGCTCACGCATTTACTCATTACAACAGAAAGTAACCCTTCCCGCACACACCTACACACAATTAAGTTTTAACAAGTCCATCTAGTTATTTGATATTCATGGCTGCCAATTTCGTCTTCACACAAAACAACCAAATTGTTGACAGGCGGGTGCACGGTATGGAAGTGCTCACTGAAATATCACTTTTCAATCAGGCACAAGAAACCACTAGTTAGGTCTGTCGTGCCCGCTCACATTCAGAAACAACAGGTCTACCTTCTAAAGTGTGCTATTACACTGCAAGTCTCATGTTTTGAAAGTGTGATTCTGTGATTTCACCAGCACAAAAAGTTGACCACTCAGTTCGATGTTGGACGCTGTGACATATGAAAGTTAAAAGACTCACGACTATCAATGAATCGCTTTCTCTAGGCTTGCTTTCCATAACGCTATGACACTATCAATTCTGTAAATTGAGATAAATAAATGAAGTCATACACAAGGAGATGATTATCAGTTGATGGGTGCCCTTCGTTGGTCTCGAGTAATTTGTCTTTCTTCACTATATTAAAAAGACAAAATTGAAATTGTTGCAACCTTTATTAAGTGAACGTGGTTTGATAGATCCCATGCCAACGAATGACTAATTTATCCAAAAGAAGGAGCTTTGTGATAGGCATGATCAGTGATGGCGCAGCAGAAATTCTTAAGTGTTTGACCTTATGTCATTTTTGATGCACTTCTTCGCAGGAACGCTTCTAACACTCAAAGCACATAAGAGTCCTTCCCATTTGATTCTTTTCAATCTATTTTTTTATTCTGAGCCCCCATGAGCCAACAATTTTTGTCGCTCAAGATAAACACCCATTTTGATCCATAACAATTTTACGCACCCTCACCCATGACCTGTCAGTTGTATGACAAGATTAATGTTGGAATTAATGAAGAAACTTGAAATTACGCCTCCTCTAAAAATGAAGTAAAAAATCCTTGCTTTGCTTGATCTGAAAATTTAAGCAAATTGGGCGTTCATGGTAAACTTTTCTCCTTAGCGGAACAGTGATAATTTGATTCACGAAAAGTTTTCGAAGGTTGGGGTAGAAGCGTTTAATTTTCCCGAGACAGCCACCATAACACAGCAACTAATCCATTTAAGTAAAAGGTCAGGTTACAAATAATGGAGTTAGACTTTAACACAAAAGTTGACCCGACAGCCCCTTGGTCGGCCTTGAAATTAAACAATGCGGAGGATGAATAGCTACGGCTACCGGTATTATGGCCACCAGCACCAACCCCAACCACAACAAGTTGATTCACAGCCCTCTACATGTGGAGAATTGGCTGCATTTACAGCAAGCACTCATTCCCATCACTAACATTTAAGAAGCTTTTAGCTTCAGAAATGGGGTACATGTGTGTCATTGTAAAGTGTCATTTTTACTGAAATTTAATTAGTAGAAAAGAAAGTTTTGACTCCAAGACGAGACGCAAGTGCGAGCTGCAAAGCATAACAAGGACTACCATCCTTAAAAGAAGGGCACGCGCCCACACGTACAAACCAAGCGCCTATTAAACACTATCACCTTCGTATTCGAGCAAAATCTCAGAGATACCAAACGTTTCTTACAACTATATAATTTGCCATAAGTATATTCCAATCCCAGCCCACCAAAGTGGTATCGCCAGACAAGCATATCCATCAAAAGACAGGAAACGTCCCACCTTTACTATCACGACTCCGAAGCAAGTAGCTAGGCACTTACTTGACAAAACGAGCAACCGCTACAGGACCAGCCCCTACGATTCTATAGAAGAAAAGCATTTGCACCGAAATTTATCTGTGCAGTTGGAGTAAAACTTCGTAAGTACATAGAATTAAAATACGACCGGATAAGATGTGACGAAACAGATAAATGAACATGAGAAATGTCACCTCGCATTATGCAAAGCTTGGACAATATGGAGTGACATGAGGCTCATCCACTTCAGTCAACAACGTCGAAAGTTGCATGATTTTACAGTGATTAGAAGACGTTTACTAACAAAAGTAGAACGTTCCTTTGAGCGAAACATTTTGAAGTCGCAATTCTTCAATGAATTTTATTGTACAAAGGGAGACAATGAGTCAAATTCGTTCAAATTGTTGCCTCTGGAAATTCAATTTCAGTTTTAATCGATTTAAATCTTTCACATGAAGAAGCTTTCCATACTTATCTGAAACACAAAAACATGGGTAATGACACGTACAAGCAACAAAAAGCCACAATTTAGAGGCGTAAAAGTTGAACTTACTGCGCACAATTCGACGTATATTTTGATTGTCAGTATTAATCATGATTAAACTGTTAACGAATTCTTCTTCCTCTTCGGTTAAGCATCTGCGTTCATCTGAAGGGACAATCGAGTCTGGACTAACTGCATGTGAGTGGTGCATGCTGTATTTTGAGACTTTTAGGCCTGTTGGCTTTAACACAACCTCGAAGTACACAGGGCAACCACATTTATGAGTCCGTTTGGCACCAGCTGTCCGAGAGTTACCACCAAGGCTGCATATATACCGCATACGACGATATCGAAATCGGATCGCATCCTCGATGGGTTCTCTAATCTTCTTGCTCACACGAATCGTGAAGGACATCCCTGTTTCCTCCTCCAGACGCATCAAAGCCAGTTCAAAAATATGAAAACTGGAGAAGTACCCATGACACATGGCGTCATGAAACCTTGCACTGAAGTCCGTCATGTTTGAAAATGTTACAATGGAGTCAAGTAGACGCCAATAGTACAAACACACACCAATGGTCGACCTTTAACAACTGCGCCCTTGTCTAAGAAGCTTCAAAACGTCAACTTTATTTACCTTAGATATCAAGTGTAAATTTAGTTATCACAATAACCTTTGCAAAGTGCAAGCAAAACCATAATTTTAGCGTAAATTTTAAAGGTTTGGCTTTATATTACTTCTCTAGCAACTGGGTTTTTAAAGAGCATTTTTCTCTCAACTCCAATCGTAAATACTATGCATTATCAGCGTACGAAATGCTCAATGGATTCTACGAATGCCTACGTGTTCCCCCAAAACTTTTTGTTGGGTAAAAGTAGGCATTGGGTTTAGATGAATGCATACATTCTGACATTGTAAAAGGGATTGACTCTTTGCTTGTCCCGAAGGCCAGCCCTGTGGCGTCCCGAGACTTCCAACAGGGTAGGAGCAGCGATAAGTTGGACTGCATTCATGAACTCCAGGAAGAACAATGTAATTGAAACTGAGCATGGTCCGAAGACCAGCCCTCACGTACAAGAGCCAGACAAATCTTAAGGTGACCGCCAGATAACCGGTAGTTACATAAACAAAGCATTACAAGCCCATGTATACAAGAGCAGAGCAATTACAAAAGTGACTTTAATGCTTTGTATATGCGACCCTATGACGTTTGGCCGTCACTTTAGGATTTGTATGGCTCTTGTACTCGTGGGGTTGGCATTCAGCCCGTGCTCAGGTTTATTTGCTGTGTTCACTTTCGGTTACGCGTATCCAACCTCACTTATTGCCTTCTACTACCGAGTAGGAAGTCTCGGGCCGCTACACTAGTGGCAGCGAAACGCGAACCCAACATTCTTCCAATGACGTCATCCTAGCACGTACCGTTCGTTGCATTTACCTTGGTGGCGGGAGAATCCCTAAAACCTTCACAACAAAAGGGTCGACTGACGTCTGCATCTGGCTTCACCCTATTTCCGTGTTCCACAGACAAGCTATTAGCAACTGAAGTGACACCGCCGTGAACCATCTGAGAAAGTTTCGTGTCGAAATTTCTACTACAAAATTCGTGTTTAGGTATCGAGAATGATGCTACGGTTCTTCCTACATCAATTTTCCCTGTAACATGTCTGCTGTACATTAGAGTTCCACCGTCTAGCCCTGGAAGCAATTGATGATTAACGAGTGTATGCGGTGCCGAATCTGTTTGTCAGAGCGGACGTAGCTCCAGATCCAGTTGAAGCTGCCGAGGAGACCAAGTACGGTTCCTCAGTCTCTTGCTGTCTGCCGAATGCCGCGGTTGGCTCGTGGGTGCTTTCTTGTAGTACAGAATATGTTGTGATGTCTGGCGCGGGGTTGCACCAAGGGGAGCGCCGAGAATATTGCTCAAAAGAAGAGAGGGTTAGTTTAATGCTTTTTTCATGTAACCATATGACGTTAGGCGGTCATTTTAGGATTTGTCTGGCCCTTGTGCTCGTGGGCTGGCCTTCGGGCCATGCTTAGACCCTGTTGCTTTGCCCTATTTGGAATACATGTATCTAGCCTTACTTATTGCCTTTTTCCTACCCTATGGGAAGTCTCGAGACGCTACAGTGACTAGTAGATATTTGGTGGTCACACAAACAAGGTATTACAGCGCCCATTTATTCCTTCAAGCGAGGCTCTCAGCCCCTATTGTTGTCTTTTATACAACATATCCGGTGCTACAATGCAACGTTCTCGAACCATCTACGCCAGACATCGCCTTCCATACGACTAAAGGGCTGCACTTGGCCTCCCCAGCAGCTTTAACTAGACCAGGAGTTGCAATTAGGTCTGCCTTTAAATGGATGAAAAGAAAGAGGGATTCGAAAGCGAATCCAACGCACGAGGAGTGCGAAGATACGTTTCCAGGGTGACATGTGCTTGTAGCCTCATCAATCCTCTTCCATTTCCTTTCTTTTTGTGCATGATGCCCAATAAAGCTTCCCAACTAACTCTCTATTGAAGTCCACGGTTCAAGGCCCTGAGGGTAGGCAGACAGGTTCTACAGTGAGGACAATCTGTCGACTATCAAACGTTTCCAAGACTAGCCGTTGGTA